ACTCGTGTTTCCTCTTTTCCTTGGCTATGATTGAAAATAAAGATAATGCATACATTTTAACCATTTGAAAATAAAAAACATGAACATCTAGTCTAGGTGGTCTATTTCATTCGCGTTTCATTTTATCTCTTCTGCCCGGCTTTCATCGTCCCTCCAATCATTAACGACCCATATTTCCGCAAGTTTTCCTAAGTTCTCCTAGCCTACCTCGTCTCTTCATTAATCTGCTCCAAACTATTGTCCATTGCTCCCCCCCTTCTTCTTTACCTTGTGCTTCTTACCATTGCTACTGCTGTTATTTGTACAGTCAAGGCGTTTGTCGGCATCCATTGTCAACGACGTCATAATCTTTCTTAATCGAATATTTTAAAAAATATCAATAATCTTAATAGCTACCCGAACTTGAAATGAACGAATACAAATAAAATTGTCAAATTTGCAGCTGTAAAATGCGCGCCCGCGCAATGTTAATGACAACGCGCGTCTTGCAAATTCAAACTGATTAGGCGGTGTCACAGAGGCCAAAAATCCGGATTTTAGTTATCCGGATTTTAGTTATCCTTTTACTTGCTGTCTGTCACCAATTATCCCATTAAAAAAAAACCTCTAACGAAGCAGGAAAATTCTCCCTTGAAAGGATTTGTTAAGGGATTTTTCTGTGTGACCAATATGTGGGTGACATGATAATATATTATCATTGTTATCATCATGGGCGTAAATCCGAATTAGACCCTGGGGGGGGGGGGGGGATACAAGTTCAGTGAGGATTAGCCGGGGGGGGGGGGGGGGTCGGAGGACATAGAATGCGGTGTTTGCAGGGTATGGTGTGGCATAAGGGTTAACATCCCCCCTCCCAATATAAATTTAGTATCAGAAACAGTGAATTATATATAGACTGAATAAAACATAATAATAAACGAAAGGTTTAATTTTTGCATTTTTTTTTCCTAAAAGCGAAAATATTCCATAATATATAACTTACTTTAAGAGAATTCCCATATCTCAATACTTTAGAAACCCTTAGATCTATAGGGGAAAAAGTGAGGGGCATATTAAATCAAGGACCGCAATGGCGCGCTCATCTTGGTTTCATAAAGCCCCCATCACACCAGACTCGTTCAGTCGTTCTCATCACAACGTTCTGAAAAAAATGATGCCAAATGGGTTACAACTGTGGTGAACGCGAACGGAGTGGATGTCTCTCCTCTATATCTCTCTTTCTCTGTATTCTATCCATCTATCTCTCCGTATCTCTAAATCTTTATCTCTCTCTCTCTCTCTCTCTCTCTCTCTCTCTATCTATCTCTCACCCTATCTTTATCTCCCCTCTATCTCTCTCTCTCTCTCTCTCTCTCTCCCTCTCTATCTCTCACCCTATCTTTATCTCCCCTCTATCTCTATCTCTCACTTTATCTCTCCCTCTATCTCTCTCCCTCTTTCTCTATGAACTCTCTCTTTCTCCCTCTATCTCTCTCTCTCTATAATATATCTCTCTTTCTATCTTTTTATCTTATTATTATCATCATAATTTTTCTCACTATTCCCGATAGTGTTATTTGTTATTGATTAACATTAATTCGATATGATTAACATTCATTCGATTTAATATTTTACAGACTTAAATTGATCAATTCAAACTGATTGTAAACTTCTCCAATACCCCAATGTGGGTGACATGAGAATAAATTGTCATTCATTGTCATTGTCATCGATCATATATATATCATTCAAAAAATCGAACGAACGATTAAAAAATTACTATTCATATTCTCTTTCTCATTTGCATAATGAATTGAAACATGCTTCTTCTGCTACTAACAATCTGACTGACATGAGCGCTATACAAGAACCCACTATTATTATTATTATTACTACTAAATTATGTTTATGAGGTAAACATACACGACGTACAGTGACGGATCTCGGGGAATGGGGCATGATTGATTTTTATTCGCCAAGCTTCCAACATACAACAATATACAAATAATAACAGATCAGCTTGAACAGGATAACCCACGAAAGCTCGAGAGCATATTTCCAATGGGGTCCCCTACAGACATATACAATAGTGAATATTTACAGACGGATAAGAAAATGAATTACATATCAACATTAAACTGATGATAGAAATGATAATAATAAGTACAAGAAGAAAAAGAAGAAGGAGAAGAAGAAAAAGAGGAGGAGGAGGAGGTGAAAGAAGAGGAAAATGGTGATGAATTTCTAGAATTTCTCTAACGTACAAACACACAAATATATACAAAATAAAAAAGTATGAACCGGCAGAAGAATACAAATTTCAATTATATAACATGTAATTCGCTTCTCTTCTTTGACTCTCAAGTATTAGGTATTCCTTTAATTTCCTCTTAAAACGAGCATAGTTTTTTATTTCCTTTATACCATTGGGAGGGGAATTTCGCAATTTCTGATGGCATTGTAATAAAATGAATTTCCAATATTACCTACTCTTTCTGGTAAGTTAAAGTTGAATCGGCTATTTCTTGTATTATAATCATGTGATGCAATGCGAGTTGTTTTGATCTTTGGTTGACTTCAAGAAAACCAGCTTTAGAAAGTTCGCTGTAGCCAACGTGAGTCCTTGGACCAGAACAGTTGATGAATCTCACCATTTTGTTCTGTATAATCTTTAACTTCTTTTGATCTGACTTGTTTATGTTACTATACCATGCAGGGTTAGCGTAGTCAAATAAACATTGAATAAGAGCCAAACAGAGTATACGTCTTGCTTTTAAATCCATACAACTTTGATATCTGTACACAAATTTCAGACGAGAATTTGCTTTTTTTACAACTGATTCTATACTGAAGATGAAAATGAAATTACGCTAGTCAACTCAATGCCTCAATACTACACAGATTCTTTTCTGTTGATTACTTGATTATTGTGTGTCACTTTGAATTCAAAAGACTTTTTAGAACTACTTTTAGAACAAAACAAAATATATTTTTGTTTGTACCAAGTGTAAAGAAAGCTTATAATCAGTCATCCAATCCACACACGTAGACAGCTGTTCACTGAGTTTTTCCTCAATATATTTAGGATCAGGATTTGAATAGAGTAATACGCTGTCATATAAAGTCTTTTATACAAATACACACTCATTTATAAAACTTGAAAATAGAATTGGGCCTAAAATGCTTCCCTGAGGAACATCCCATGTTATAGGCATTAGTTTGGAACGAATATCATGAATGGCCACTACTTGGTGACGATTAGATAAGTAGGACCTGAACCACTCCAAACTTGCCTTATTAAAACCCATTAGCTTTTTGCAGATCAAGAAGCACCATACCAACAAAGCGCCCTTGGGAAGTTTCTGTCCTCAAATAATCAGTCAAATGAGTTAGACATGTTTCAGTCGAATAATCATGTCAAAAAACAAAATTGAAATTCATAAATTATATCATTTTCTTTGAAGTATCTTTCAATTTGAACACAGACCAATTTTTTACAATCAGAACACAGAAGGCCGTGTTGATTACCTGGCTTTATCACAGTTCCCACAAGGGAACTTATTTCCGACCGTCAACCGGGCCGTCAACTACCATTTTCGGATCATCACTTGATTTTGTCAGACTTTCACTTAATTCAGTACGTTCATTCATGAATATTGATATGTTACATTACATTGTAAATTGACTTATATGATGTATATGTTCCCAAACAGAATATTGACTGTTACATTACATTAAATGTAAACTAATTATAATTATGTATATAAACAGAATATTGATGTACATCAATGAAGTTTTAATAAATACAATACAATACAATACATGTACCCTGGCTAATAATAAAGTCAAGTAAAAAAAAAAAAAAAAAAACAAAAATGTGTTCCTAGCGGCCTCCTCCAGAGCTGCCCTTGAGTTGGATTCTCGAAATCTTTGTAATATGTTTAATTGTACTTAAACTTTAGGATACCTCAAGGGGCGTGAAACTGGGGTGGGCTTCGCGCTCGTCACTGGTCCGGTCACGTGCCTGGTCAGGTGGTTAGTCATCGGGCTCGTCATGGGAGTCGGCGTCACCGATGGCTCTGCGAAGTCCGTTTCGATCAGATTGCGCGGCTTCGCATAGCCGTCCTCGTCTGTTTGGTAGGTCTGATCATCACGCTCGATATTTGACGTAATAAAAGGACGGTCAGGAATGTCCATGTAGATTCCTTCAGCAGAACTCATGAAATCGTTGTTGTCCCGACTGGACCCACCATGAATAGCTGATTCATCAGCATTGTCGTAGGATATTGCGGGTAGCTGCAACAAAGTGTTGGTGTTTGCTGGTCGTTTTCCAATGGCCTGCTCGTTTCGAATGGACGACTTTTTCCTTTTGACGAAGGTGACCAATACCTATTCAAATCAACGTATGGAAATAGACATTCTTAATCACAATTCGATGTTTTATTTATACTTTTTCTGCAAGTATGAAAAAGCTAGCTACACAACTTCTACTATAATAGTTTAAGTGGCTCACATAAGACCAGGGGCCGCTATAAAGGGGTCTTGATCCCTCCCCCATAATCTCTGTCGGTACTTTTGTGACTTGTGTTCTTGTTAAGCTTTGATGAAAACGGATTATTTTCTCAACCTCGAAAAGTACATTTTGATATCTTTTACACCTTTGCCGGCACATTTAAAATCCAAAACAAATAAAATACAATGTGTATTAGAACTTCTTTTTTCATATATTAAATTTTTGTTTGAGTTCTTTTTTCTTTTTTCTTTGGGGGTGATATTTAGTCCTGTAAGTCCCCCTAGTGACAGTTTTGTAACTTATATGAGACTTGTTCTTGCAATGACAACAGAACGCTAACCTCTGATTCATGTTTTCGACTGCAGCATCTGCAGAGATGTACAATAAGGGACACCATGAGCATGAAGAAAAGACCTGCCGTGGCGCCGATCAGCGACAGGTTAAATATAGACCACTCGAAGCCATGTGACACGTCTACGGTAGTTTGAAGAGAAGAGATAAATAGATAAAAATGGATAGAGTATCATGAGCATAAATTTGTCATTATGTTTATGACGTGAGTATAAGCAAGAATCAACAAATTCAAATAATAACAGTACAGTAATAGGCATGAGAAACTTCATGGAAACATTCAAGTGGCTTTGGATCTTAAATGTCTCCAAAAAAAAAAAAAAAAAAAAAAAAAAAAAAAAAAAATATATATATATATATATATATATATATATATATATATACAGGCGCGTACGCAGGGGGGGGGGGGGGGGGGGGTTCAACCCCCCCCCCCCCCTTGGTATTTTTTTATGTGTGTATTTTGGAGGAAAACCCCCCTTTGGTAAAACAGAATGTCAGGGAAATGCCACTTAAACACTCAGGGATATTGATAAAAATCAATGCTTAATCAGAAAAGGGGGAAATTATGAGACAACTATTGTGTCTTGTCTTTGTTTGTGTGTATGGGTGGGTGTGTGTGCGTGTGTGTTTGTGTATGTGTCTGTCTGTCTGTCTGACTGTCTTTGTTCAATGCACTGTTTTGTTCCTCACCCAGTAAGTTGGCGCAAGTGATGGCACTCTTGTAAAGATTGTCTGATGTTCAGTCATGCGTGAAGGGATTCAAATGAAAATGGTATCTAAATATACTGGGAGGATAACCTTATCAAGACATTTTATGAAACCCCTGAATAAATAGTCAAAGTTCAAACAATACAACTTTTAAAAAGTGGGACATTTTTTCTGACTCGCCCTGTATATATATATATATATATATACAAACAACAAAACCGCTTAAATTTGAACTGGCGCACCTTATTGCGTATGTTTTGCTGAAAATCAAATGTTCTTTTTCATGGACATGATGATGAATTAAACAGGATGTTTATTGTCTAATACACACTGGCACAAAATTTTGTCATAAAAAAAATGCTTCAGCTCCTCCGATGTAATGAAAACGAACGAATTAGTTTCAATTAGAATATTGCGAGAAATCAAGTGGGAGTTTCGTAGCAATTAAATCAATATTATTAACGAATTTGGACACTTTTGAATTTGAGTCACACAATTTCTTGTTGTCACTTCATTAACATTATAAGCAATCTATCTAAAACAAATTGTCAATACTCATACAAAGAGTAGGCTAATTAACAATAATGACACCGTGCATGCGGTTTACATGCTGTGTCTTATTCTGTACAGACACTCGAGAACCATCAGAGTGAGAGTTGTGTTTTCAAACTTCAAAATCTGATGTGGATTGTTGTAAATTTAGTTGATAGGTTTGTAGTGGCTTCAGAGCTTCATCATCAACATAGTAATGGTTTCATAGTAACAGTATCATGTGATTCATCACGTGCAGTTCAAGGGGGAGGGCGGTGTCTAGCTGATATGACTGCGAACCCACAATAGACAAAACGAAAACATGGAAAAGATATTGGTGTCATCCTCTTGCAAGTATTTTATATGAGATACCCATCAAAAAAATTACCTCAATCCCCAAATATATAGTGGGGGGCGCCGGAATATTATGTCGCTGGTTAAAAAATGGAGTAAAATTAGAAAATCTCGGCGGCTTCACCCGCTCGCCTTTGCCTTGTACCAACATTGATTAGGAGAGTTTGGCCAACTTAGTTTCACTGGGTCACAACATGGCGTATATTGTTTTGTTTGTACTTGCCCAACAAAGCAGTAGTCGCCATAATGTGACCAACTCGAACCGGGTTGGCCAAACTATCTAAATGGATGGCTCTGCCTTTTACACTAATGGGAGACCCTCAATACGCGAAAATGTAATGCTACGGACGGGAAAATATAGGTCTTCTGGCGCTATGCGCTTCGTTTCTTACTCTTTTATTATATATTGATGAAATTGATCTTTAGTAAGATATAGCTTTGTGTTGGCTTGGTGGTGTATAATCCAGACCCAGTACAATAGAGAAACCAAATCTTCAAGAGTAGTTTTGGTTTCAAGATGTGTATTAATTGCATCTCAAAAATACGAGAGACAAAAATTATCATAATGACAAAACCAGGAAACACTAAGCAATGCTTAAGTAGAGTAACAATATGTCTCCTACACTTTCAATATATTCATCAAGAGATCTCTACATCCCTCGAAATGAAAGATGGAAAGATGACGGATTTTTAGATCAAGGTCAAACTTTATTTTTATCCTAAACTAACCTCACCACTTATTGAGCAGGATATCAAAAATTAAATCTCCACTTCATGCCTATGGTTCTTGTTTTTAACATATTGTAATGAATTATTCAGAGCTTATTAATAGCTAGAGATTACATAAACAATCTCTACTAATTTTTTTTTTACAGATATCATTTTTATCCCGGCGCACATTATGGACCATCTCCACTCTTGACACATTTTGGCTTTTGTATTCACATTTTATCATCTATTCGGTTTCGCCCTTGTTAGTTCAAATGCGGTACCATAATTAGGGATCGAACGCACATCCTTGTTCCGTGTGCTTATACATACCACTCGACTATGACATCTTTTATTGAACCAAATGACCTTTTTTCAACTGATATGACTTTGACCTATTGAATTTGAATTGATATAACTGATGGCATTACATACTTTGACAGGTAAGAGCAATGAATTGATGTGATTCACAACGTCCTCTTGTCGCCTGGCAATCTTTTATCCTGGGTGAGTCTGCAAGTTACCATGGAATGTGAAAGAAGAAAAAAAGAGCAAAATTTGAACATATTTCTTGTACTCTCCCTATCAATGTCAAATTCCTCCTTTCCCAAAAGAATTTAAAAGCTGTTTTTTATAAATCTTTCTTGCGACCAAATCATATTCAAACTCAAAGATTTATTCTTACTAAAATACATACCCAGAGAATGGGCAGAGATTTAACGAAAGTATCACACTAACTTATATTCTGCATTGTCTCTGAGAAACGTCATATCATTAACTAGTTGAGCGTTCTTAATTTCTGTATAGTGTTTTCTGATAATATTACATAATAATACCTAATAATTCAACATTGATGTCGGCATCTTTACTGAAAAATGAACACCCACACAACCGCGCTTACACCTTAAGCCTCAAATATTATAACTGTCTGTAGAGGGTTTTGGAGAAAATATTTTAAAGGTTGGACCAATTCAACTTCACCCATTTGAATTCATTTAGTTCCATGCGACAACTAGTTTGTTTCATTATGCTAAACCCCATATAAAATGATATGCATTATAATACCCTCATTTTATAAGATTTTTTTTGTTTCAGCATTATATTTCTGCTCACGATTAGCAAATTTTGTTATAATATCAAAATATTCTGAAATATTTTTTTTTTCTTCATCAAATGAGGGTATTATAATGCATATCATTTTGTATGGGGTTTAGCATAATTTTTTTTACAAAGTATACTTACTAGTTGGACATTTTAAGGCGATAATACTGTCGCGGTCGTAGTTCTCATGCTGAATTGTTGCCGATTTGACCACTCCCTGATCATGATAACCTAAATCTTCACAGATCATTGCCAGGGTGTCGTGTGTGTGTCCGAGGTCAGTTTCATTGCAGACACTTATCCATTCTGCGCCGTTCAAGGAAAATTGAAGTTCAGCAGGGGTGACGTTGTAAAGCATACGTGCTGCGATCGAATACGCTGGAAGTAAAAGTTCGATGATTTTTTTTATTTTTTTTTTGTGTGTGGGATAGTTTGGATACAAAGTTACCGATTGAAAGACCAATATTACGGTAATAATATCTATTAAAGGCACACTGTCCTACTTGTAGCTACTTGCTCCCTCTATATAGAAAACTTCCCAAATCGGTGCCTGTTGGTCCCCCATGATCCTCTTTTTCTTATGTTAAATGAGAGCTGAGTTAATGAGATAGCCACCTGTCACAGTGACCTCGATGGCTCGCTGTGTGGTCTAATCCCTTCTAGCTGCAGTAGTAACGCCTACCTTTAACTTTTCAAAAACTTTTTTTTTTTCTCACAAGTTTATCGAGTAAGACGTGTTCTGGGCAAAACATCTTGATATTTAACTTTTTATAGCGAGTGCGCATTAATTGTAATCGTAAAGAAACTTAGACGAAGTATGAGACGTTTTGGCACAGTTGTTTGGCAGAAATACTGTTATGTAAAACGTGCACATACCCGAAAAAAAATTGTGAACAATTTTCAATAAATGTCCCTTTTATCGTTCAGAGAACAAAAACTATAAATTTCATTATAGAGACGTGTTGTTTCAATAAAATAATGTATATTTTTCAATAAATAACGCGCTCGTAACCCCCTCCCCTAAAATGGCCTACTAGGGAGAAATAATGAAACGAAGAGAGAGGGGGAGAAAGGGAGAGATGGACAAAAGAAAATCATAGGACCCCTCGCGCGCAACCTCATGCTTCGCAATGGCTTTGATAATTTGCATTTAATTCACTAGGTAAGACTCGCGTATCTCCCCACCCCTCCCCACCCCCTATAGTTCCGCCCAATGATCGATGTAAATGGTACCCCTCCCCCTCAACGGTTGGATCCATACTATATGCCATTGATTCTAACACGACCGCAAAGGCTTTCAAGAAAAACGTAAGGGGGTAATTTCAATAGCTTTGTCCATTATCAGTTATTGCATTATGCGAATATGATGACGTGTGTTCTAACTGATCCCAACATGATATCTATGGAATAGATGATTATCTCATCAAATCAACTCTCAATTAACATAAGAAAAAGGAGAGATCAGGGGGACCAACAGGCACTGATGAGGCATGCTATATAAGGCGGTGTCACACAGAGGCCAAAATTTCGGATTTTAGTTTTCCGAATTATTCGTAGCCTGTCTGTCAGAAGTCTGTCACCGACTGACATGAAAAAATAGATTTCTAAAATCTGGTTTATTCAAGATGGGTCGGGATTTTTCTGCGTGACACCGCCTATTGAGGGCGAAAGTAGCTACACTGTCGCTCATAAAGATGGATTATTTTTTTTTAATTCCAATTTATGGAATTATTTTAAAAATAATTTAAAAATAAT